CTGTTTTTATAATTCAGTCCTCGAAAATTACTTTTCGTGCATTTTAGTCATGTAGTGTGTGTGGAGAGATCTAAACTTTACGGGTTCGTCGAGTCTTGTAATTTGGAGTACTACTATTACAAGACGAGATCGTTGTATCTTGGAAAACGAGTGCTGCAATACCGTTAGTACCAGTGCGGGGTATTATCGTTTTAAGGAGAAAGAGTCGAACTCTTGCCTCGACCGTTCAAAACCATCCAAACGTCGTTACTTTGCCTAAATATAAATTACGGTAACACTATTATCTGCCAATATCTTTTTCAACACTTCGTCCAGTCAATCGATTTACTACTTTACTCCATCTATCTCTCAACCCCCTTTAACATAGTCAAACACCAATCTTCAGCCCTTTCCTTGAGCTTCGATTGATCCAAGCACGTGTAATCAATTTTTCTAGTACTTTACGTAAGAGCGGGTCTGGTGTGCCCTCGGCTCCAAAATTTGCCACTCAACATAAATTTCTTGCTTTTCCTCTAGCATGCAAAGATAGCTAAGACTTGAACAAGAAGTTGTTTGATATTGGGCCTGCGATTATAGGCAATCTTATTTGGAGAAACAGGTTGCTGACTCACTGGCCTAGTTGACGATCCGACTTCAACTGGGCCTGATACTATTGTTGCTGCACCAATTTCGCCCCTCACAATCCTACGCCCGATAATTATATGCTTGTACACCCAGAAGGTTCGGGTTAACGAGTGAAAATTAAGCCCATACTATTATTTCTCTGCAAATTGCAATTCTGAGCTTAAAATATTGGGGATACATGATAAAATTTGTTATTATGTGACTTTTTCATGACAAAGTAACCAACAGTTCTTATAAACTTGATGAATTTTTATGAATTGAGCGGAATTTCTACTTAATTTTTGTGAAAATGTTACATTTTTAGATAAAATTAGGAATTAAATGTATTTGGACCAAAAGTTAGGATTTTGAGCCAAAATTAGAGTTAGTTTGTAGTAATTGAAGAATAATTGGATTGCAAGGGATTGATACGAAGCATTAAATGAGTAGTTTGACGAAAGTCACAAGTTTTGTGAGTAAATTTTAACTTATCGAAAGTCTTGAGACTGAATAGCACACTTTTGAAACTCTATGGGGGACCAATTTTCGGAATAATAGGAAGTTTTGAGGACAAATGTGAAAAGTTTTAGGAAGTTGCAGAATCAATATTTAAGATTTGGATTAAAAAAGGACCAATACAGTACGAAAGAATTGAAGTGCGGACCATAGTGTAAAAGTTTGAAGTTGCAGGGAGGATTGTGGTCCCCTGAGTCACCCTGTTTGCCACAGCCAAATCGTGGTTGAGCCCTCCTCCTTTTTTGCCACAGTCCGATCGTTCCTTTTTCATAAGAACCCTTTTTATACAAGGACCCATTTCAGGTAAAACACGTTTTTTACACATGTTATACAATAGAGAATCACAAGAGAAAAAGTAGATAATGCAAGATAGAAAGAAAAGAAAATGCTAAGGCCGTGGTTGGTTTGCCGTTTTCGGCCCATTTTCTATTTTTCGTTTTCGAAAACGCGGAAAATGCATTTGGTTAGTCGTTTTCGAAAACGAGTTAAAATTTATAACTGAAAACGCATAACGACTTTTTATCGTTTTCAGTTATAAATGTCGAAAACGCTCAAAACGCGGAAAACGGGCCTTTTTCGAGGAAAATTAAAAATTGTTTTGAAAATGAAAATGGAAAATGAAAACGCAAACCAACCACTACCTAAGGTTTTAACAACATAGCTTGAGGGAGGCGGGTTCTTATGCAAGAAGATCATATCTTTTAATTACGTCTTCTACAACTCAACAAGTCAACATAGGATGAAAATCTCTTATCGTCCATACGTTTTTCACGAATTGATTCCAATGGAATTCGACATAATCACTCGTTTCATCAGCAGCCCAACTTTGAAACAGATGGTAACTAATTATTAGCGTGATTTGCAGAAGACCGAAAACATCATAATTCTGCCACAATGGTTAAAATTTTTCCCCATTGTTGAGCAAAGTTTACAGGTTTTCCATCAATTGATTCCCTTGACGCAGGGCTGGACACTGCCTTTTTCATCTGCGAAATGTCACTATAAAATAAAACTAATATTATGAAATTTAAATGGACTCCCACAAGTACGAGATAAAAGGTGCAAAAAATTATAAAGTCAAGGATGACATCTGAAATTGTCGAAGAATGAAACTAATATTTTTAAATTTGAACGGATCCCTTAATCAAGATAACAATCGCTAATCAATGAAATGTTATGCTATTAAGAAACGAAAATTCAAGATAAATGTGCAAAAACGTATAAAAGCTGTGTGATGATGTATCTAACTTCTATTAAAAAGTTCAACGAGTTGCTACTATTGATAAAACAGTAAATGAATTCTAATTTACTGTACAAGAGAGAAGAAAATAACGTCATTTTTGTCTATATGTTTTTCCTACTTTTCACTGTTGACGTTCTTTTTTCCTTCTTTCTTTCTCTTCTTTAGCGTGCGTTCATCCCGGTTTTTTGCTCCTTATTTTCGACGACCATACTAGGCAACCATACTCCTTATTTTCAGGTGCAATAATTTATATTGATTGATTTATGCAGTTGAAGAGGTCTATGAATTTAAATATATCTTTCTACTCCCTTTTCTTCTCGAAATTTTTTTTTGTAAGTTGTAATGGTTAGTAGTGTTTTCTTTTTATTTTTTTTATGGAATTGATTTAGATTTTGTTTCAAATTGTATAAAAAATGCATATTTTCCTTTCCATCTTCTTGTTTAGGCTGTATAATTAATTATTTTCCTAGAAAGTATTGTCTGATCTTAGTTGAGTAAATTGACGTTAATTGTTAAAGTCATTTTTGTTGGAATACCGAACATTTAGTTTTGCTAATTTTATTGTGGATACTTAAAAATAAAAATTTGCTCCACACCGTGCGCAGTAACTCCGCACTTCATGGGAGCAAAGTGCAAAGTTGCTCCCACAAAGTGCGGAGTTACTCAGTACAAAGTGTGCGAAATTACAGACAACTCTGTGAGCAACTCTACACTGTGCGGAGAGATAAACCCTCTATGCACGGTGCGGAATTACCATATTTTTTCATCAATATC